AATGAACCCTTCACTGGAAATGGTTTTTCAGGTACTCTAGAGCTATGTCTATATCTCTACTGTTTATTCAGCATTTAATGTCGGTTACTGAAATTCTGGTTTCGAATGTATATAGGTTGTGATGCACTCATTCGTCCCCCGTAAAATGACGTTACTGTTTCTTATACACACAAAGGTCTGGGGCATACTTTTTGAGCTTTTTAATGAGATATGTCCAATTATGTTGTCCTCGTGAAATAATATTCTTGTTCCATATTAACTTTTTCTTGTTTGTGGCTGTTTGTTTAGACCCCGTTTGAAAATCTGGAGCCTGTTTTGAGGGAAGATATACAGAAGGTAATTTAGTCTTCAGAGCAATGTTGTTTTTAAACCTTAGTTGTTTTTTTCCATATCTCTCAGATATTGTAAATTCTACAGCTATGGGATGGAGTTCCGAAGCCCGAAGCCCATAACAGTAACCCCTTCAGTGATTTCTTTAGTGTGAGATCTCTGACAGCTTGTGTTCTTTTTAATGTCTTGATCATTAGTCAAAGCTAATTGTCACTGATTACAAAATTCTTTGACGTGAAGTTAGAAGTAGTTACTTTGTCCAGTTATGAAGAGGAGGAGGAGAAGTTTAAGGAGGAGGTAATCTCTCTACTATCAGAAGCAATTCGTTATGTCCAAAATCGTATTGGCCATTACATTTTCTCTTTTTGGGGTTTCGATACATGGGGCGTGTTGTAGCATCCACTCAAGGGTTGAATATGTATATTTATATATATGAAGAGTTGCTTAATGTCTTTCGTATCAGGGGAAACATAATTGTTTGCTTTATGTCCTGTATCATGCAGGTTGCTCAACTTAGGCAGCGCTTTTTCCATTCTATTTCTCCAGGAGGGCTTGCTGGTGATAGACGGGGTGTTGTTCCTGCCTCAGGATTTTCCTTTAGTGCACAACAGATTTGGAAAGTAATCAAAGAGAACAAGGACCTGGATCTTCCCGCTCACAAGGTTTTGTTAGTTTATTTTCTTCCCATTAGAAAATGATTTGTGGTGTTCACTTCTCATATGCATTGATCATATACATAATATTGTTTATAATTTAATTAGGTTATGGTTGCTACTGTTCGATGTGAAGAGATCGCCAACCGGAAATTCAATCAGTTGATCTATGATGGGGTATGTACTCATAATCTCCTTTTCTGAGATGCTTGTACTTCTAATATGATCGAGAAGGTTTTATTGGTCATTATTCTTGGGATATAATAAACATGATTTAGGGTTGGTTGGCATTGAAAGAAGCTGTCCAAACTGGTCCCGTACAAGGTTTTGGTAAAAGGCTCAGCTCCATTTTAAGCACCAATCTTTCAGAGTAAGTTTCACTCTGGTTTAAATATGTGAGTTTAAAATTCCAAAGGTCTCTCTCTCTCTCTCTCTCTCTCTCTCTCTCTCTCTCTATATATATATATATATATATATATGTATTGAAATTTTTATTGTTAGTGTTGGGCTTGTATTGTTTCTAGTTCTGTCTGACATTATTTGTATGATCTTGCCTGTGCATCATAGGTATGACATGGAGGCCATTTACTTTGACGAAGGTGTAAAGAACTCAAAACGACAACTGTTGGAGTCAAAAGCATTGGATGTATGGCTATTCTATTTGTCTTTCTAATTTAACAGAGATTTTGGTTAGGTTTTCAGTTGCTTAGACAATTCTTGGAAATGAGGATGTCGTGGGGGGTCTCCCGAACCTTAGACCTTAGGTCTGGGCCAAACACCTACTCTACCACCATGGTAGGACGGCACTAGCAATGATTGTTTTCTTTTAAACATGGAAAAAATGGGCTTGTATTTTTTTAAAAAGTGCCCAAACCCAAGAAATGAAACAGCCTAGAAAATAAAAAAGAACCAGGAAAAAAAGACCAAAAATGCTATAGTACTATGTATCTATAATTTAAAATATATATGTTGAGGCTTACGCTTTGCAAGGCTCTCGATGAAACACATCAGTCTACGCCTTAACGTTTGCTTGATCTTTACAGTTCATATTGTCTTCAAAACCCAAAATGATTAAAGGGGGGGATGGATTCGGTGTGGTTGGTTTTGAGGATTCATTGCAGCCACTGATGCCAATTATCATAGTTCTAATCTCGCTTTGCTCTTAATTTTCCAGTTTGTTTACCCTGCGTACACAACCATGTTGGGACATGTACATTCTAAAGTGCTTGAAGATTTTAAAGTGAGGCTGGAAGAATTGTTAAACAAAAGAGAAGGATTTACTTCATCTCTTCGTACCTGTACTCAGTCTTCCATGCTTGAGTTTGACAAAGGATGTGCAGGTAATTAACATGTTTGTCCACCAAACAACCTTCGTTATTAGTAGTACTTAACATGTTGTTCCTTTCAGATGCTGCTATACAACAAGCTAATTGGGATGCTTCAAGAGTTGTTCGCGAAAAACTACAACGTGATATAGATGCACATGCATCATCCGTTTATAGTGCAAAGTTGTTAGAATTGAATGTCAACTATGAGGTAAGGATACTACTTGCCTCCTTATTAGTAAGGAGTACTCCTCCTTCTTGCGAATCATAGTTTGATATAAGTGCAAAAATAATTCATCAAAAATAACAAAAAGAAAAACTTCTGCACATATGTCACACTACTATTGGTAGGAATGTAGAAGCTCCTACCTGGTAAGGAGAGAAGTATTTTTCATGAGGTAACGTTATGATAATCTATTAAACTCTTGGTTATTATATGACTTAGAATACTTTTAAAGTTATGTTGATAATTTGTTGTTACTTAAAGTTCTTAATGAAAATACCCTTTAATTTTGCAGAAACAACTGTCTGCATCTTTAATTGGACCAGTAGAGGCCTTACTTGAATCTGGTGAAAAAGACACTTGGGCTTCAATAAGAAAACTTCTTAATCGTGAAACTGAAGTTGTAGTATCTGAGTTTTCATCAACTGTAGTTGCTGATTTTGAGTTGGACAAAGAAACAATTGCCAAAATGTTGCAACATTTAAGGGATTACTCACGGAATGTGGTTGTGAAAAAAGCAAGAGAAGAGGCTGCAAAAATTATGATCCTCATGAAAGATCGGTAGAGGACTTGTTGTCCATATATTTCTTCTTCTTTTTTCATTGTGATTTTGGTTGCTTATCATTTCTGTTAACATTTCTCAGGTTTTCCAGAGTCTTTAATTATGACAGTGATTCAATGCCTCGGGTTTGGACTGAGAAAGAAGACATTAGAAGTATTACCAAAGATGCTCACTCTGCGGTAATGATTTTGAACTTTTATGGAAGAGTAGTTATATGTCTTTTTGTGTTAAAGTGATATTTTAGTGTCTTTTATTATATCTTTCTTGTAGTCTATGAAGCTTTTGTCGGTCATGGCTGCCATCCGCTTGGAGGAGAAGCCAGATAATATTGAAAAAATTCTCTTTTCTTCTCTGATGGATGGAACTGTTACTGGTTCATCTTCACAAGATAGGAGAATAGAAGCTTCTGCATACCCTCTTGCCTCAAACACTTGGGAAGAGGTACCATTAATGGGTTTTGGTTTATCTGTCTACTTTTTCTATCATCAAACCGGTTCCTTATTAAAGGTTAACTCTGAACTAGGTTTCTTCAGAGGATACCTTAATTACTCCCGTGCAGTGCAAGTCCTTGTGGAGACAGTTCAAAACAGAGACTCAGTATAGTATCACTCAAGCTATTTCAGCACAAGTATATAATTTATAATTTCTCTTAACTTACGTTTGCTTAACTTCAGTAGTTTAATTGTTTTCATTGTCATTTAAGCACTGCTGCATACATAATAAATGAATTTTGCAGTTCCTAAAACTTTTGTATGGATTTGAATTCTGGAGATCTAAATAGTGATGCATATTCTTGCAAATGTAATGGGCAAGTAGTAGTAGAAACTTTGAAATATGAAGTGTGCCTTGTGTATGACATTTTGGGATGGAGTTCTTATTCATGTAGACTGGATTTGGTTTAGCAGTGAAAAAAGAAACGTATGGAAACACTTAATATTGAAAAATGAGCTAACTCTTGACTCGGTAACGAAAAGTTTATGTATCCTTGTTTTCCTACAAAGAAAACCTTACATCCTAATATTTTCAACAAACTGCCTATCTTTATGCTTAGAAGCTCAATCTAATCTTGCAAACGTATGTATGATGCTGTTTGCTTTTGTATTTTCAGGAGGCTTACAAGCGGAGTAACAACTGGTTGCCTCCTCCGTGGGCTATTATGGCAATGGCCGTTCTTGCTTTCAACCAATTTATGCTCCCACGACTACAAAAAAAGAAATAGGCGACGGGAATCTACCGTCGTTGTGATACTTTAAAAATTGTCGTTAAATTGACTGACATCTTTTGAATGTCAAACTAAGACAGTTTTTCACCGTTATGATTTTAATGGAAAGACGACTGTGAAGTATTAATTTTACATTTTTTTTTTTGTTTCCTATGATTTAACAATAAATTGAGGTCCAAATATGCAATATTATTACCCACACCATGCTTAAACTTAAAAGTCGCTTATCTCATAAAACTTGAAGATTTAATATTCATTACATTACCAATCTTGATTTCTTTCACATCGATACAAAGTACCACATCTAACCAAGGAATTCCCAAGGATTTACAGCTCCTAATTTATTTGATTGATCACTAGTTAAAAGATCAAAGAAAGTTGTCAGTACGTTAAGAAGGTAAAAAATATCCTAATGTCTACAGGATAAATTAGGAAACAAATATGTAATTATCCGTTGTAAAATATTTCTTTTTTTATTGTAATTTTGATTCCTAGAATAGCTTAGCACAATTATAGGTAATCTCTTGTATAAAGTTACACTTTATTTCAATGAAATTCATTCTGGCAAATTATATCTTTTAGCCTATTTTATATGGTATCAGGGCAGGGGAAACCCCAGCCCTTTTTTTTCCTTCTCCGCTGCACACAATCAAGTAGCTTTTTTTCTTTGCTGTCGACTTCCATCATGGTCAATGAGCAGACTTCTTCCGATGGAAGCAAGCTAGATGCTTCCAATCCTTTCTTCATCCATCATTTCAATCACCCAGAAATGATGTTGGTTTCGAAGCCCCTTCATGGGGATAATTACACGACTTGGCATCGCTCCATGACCGTTTCCTTGAGTGCCAAAAACAAGTTGGGTTTTGTTGATGGCACTGTCAAAGCTCCTTCCGCCAAAACCCAACCAGACGATTATGCATCATGGAGACATGATTCTTTCATGGCTCATTAATTCTCTTGAACTACAGTGCAATTTATTCCACCACCGCTCACGAAATTTGGGAGGATATCGGTGAGCGTTTTTCTCAAAGCAATGCTCCTCGTATTTTCCAGATCCAGCGGGATATTGCTTCTCTTACTCAGGACCAATTGTCCGTGGCAGCATATTATACTAAACTGAAAAGTTTATGGGATGAGTTGGCTTCTTATAGTGACTCCACTTCTTGGACATGTGGGGCTCAGAATGAGCGAAATAAACTGATGCAGTTTCTTATGTGGCTCCACGAGTCCTACAGTGCGATCCGTGGCAAGATATTGTTGATGAATCCGTTGCCCACAGTTCGACAAGCTTATGCCTCTATCTCTCAAGAAGAAAAACAATGCTCTTGGAGTGTTAGGCGTGGCATTCCCGAGGCAGCTGCTATGGCTGTCCATCATGATTAGAAACCAAGGACATCCAATCGTTCGCCACTTCATTGCTCCTATTGCGATCAATACCATCACACTCGAGACGCTATAAATTAAACGTCTATCCACCAGGCCATCGTCTCCACAAATCCCACACCCGTGATGGCAGCCAAAATCGTGGTGGCAATCGCTCCAAACGTAATGGGGGCTCTTCCTCTTCGGTGAACCTCGTTTCTGACGGTCCATCCCTTCACGATCTACGGTCTGCCTTGCCCAATCTCTCTGATACACAGCTCCAGCAGGTTCATTCCGTTGTGCATGACAACGGTGCTGAACCATGTACTTCTACTCCACAAGCCAATGTCGCTGGTAGTGTTCAAGGTTTGTTTACAGCTCCATTGCGCCTCCCTCGATGGATCATTGACAGCGGCGCTACTGACCACATCACTTCTTCATCCGATTTGCTTACCAATGGTGTCAAAAATCATACCTTACAACCGGTCCTTATGCCCAGTGGGGTACACGCCCCTATTGCCTACATTGGAAATTTATCTTTATCTTCAGGCACCTACATGACGTGCTTTGTGTTCCTACATTTAAAGTTGATTTATTATCTGTTAGCAGAATTACAAAGAGTTTGAACTGCTTAGTAACTTTTTTTCCTTCTTGGTGCTTTTTATAGGATCGGGTTAAGAAGACGATGATTGGTTTGGGTAAGCAACATGGAGGACTCTACTACCGGCATTGCACTCTCTTCCACCTGGCTCCGCCAGCCGATCCTGCCATCTTGCTGTTCCATCCACCGACCTGTGGCACCGATGTTTTACATAATTTCCAATTTCGAGAGGATTAACTTGACACAATTCGACCCAAATTCCAATTATCTAAGGCGGTTTGAGTTGTGTTCATGTAAAAACACCATCTAAACTAATTTAATAAAGACGAATCATCCTTCTTTTTAAATTCTTATATTAAAAATCAATTTTTTTTTTTTCCCATATTTGCTTAAGCAGACTTGACAGATTAAATTAGGTAACACAGAACTAGGAAATGTAGCTAGCATTTATCAGCATGTCAAAACTTTTATTTATTAAATTCTTTTAATCATGCATGCATCAACAATATTTTTTTTTTGTGTGAAGAGAAAAACAATAATTGTATTCATAAATTAAGCACAAAGATCATCAGCCACAAGGGCAAATACAAATGCCCACGAAGGGGTAATACACATATGGAAGCATAGTAACCACGAGGTTAATCCAAATATAGGCCACAAAAGACCAGAGAAATTTCGGCATAAAAGCCGCATGCCTGAACAAACCAGACATGAATTGCATTGCCCAAATATACCAATACAACTACAAATTTTAACTCTCACAAGTACAAAATACAAATTGAGACTAGAAACAATCAAACACCCAACTCACAAGGAGTTGATGCAATTATTACCAAAAAACAAAAAAAAAACTGCAAACAAACAACCAAAAACTAACAGAGCCACTACTGCTGTCGTTGCCACCACCGCCATAACCATTGTCCCCACCTTGGAGACATAGATCTAACACTAAGATTGCAGCCAGTAACCCTACAACAAACCACCAACTAGCAAAGCCACAGATCCACAGATCTGGACACAAATAACCTCCCCACAAGTAAAATCCCAAATCTAGTAGATGGAGAATGGGGAAAAATAAGTAGGGAGGTAAAGAAAGAGAGAGAGGGAGAGAGGAGGAGTGACCTCCTCCCCCCTCCTCGGAACACCCAACGCAAAAGAGGTTTGAGAGAAAATCATCAACAGTACCTTTTCACAAAAGTAATTACTTCTTTTTATAAGACAAAAGTAATTAGTACTAAATCAAAATTACTAATATGAACAACATCCATGGTCGACCAAAAAAAAATAGTTTGAAATAAACAATAGTTATATTATTTATAAGGTAGTAAACACGAAGCCTTCTTGTAGAGTAGAGAGAGAGGCGGAAAGAGGAGTTAGGTGGCGAATCCTAACTCCAGTTCCTCTGTGCACATTTTTTTTTTCATTTACTCTGTTTGTTTGCTCTTCAAGCAAGAAGCTTCACTTCTTCTTTTTTTCTTTTTTGTCAAAAAGCAAGAAGCTTTACTTACTCAGAAGAATAAGGCTTGAGTTCAAAGGAAGCATAGAATCTGGGTCGTCCTGCTCTTCAAGTTTGTATAAGTCGGTGCTTGAAAGTTGGAGCCTTTAAGGCTGCCATATTTGGGCTCTCAGAGTTGGAGATTTTGAGAGAGTATTGTATTGATGGAGGAAGATTGCTGCGCCACGCAACTCATCTATGGAGATGGTGAGTTTAATGCTGATGGGCTCGACAGGTTCGTCAAGGAAGTGAAGCTTGCTGAGTGTGGAGTCTCCTATGGTGTTGTTGCCATCGTGGGTCCTCAGAGCAGCGGTAATTAAAATGAAGCTTTTTTACTTTAATCAATTTAATTGATTGAGCTTGAGCAATATGGGGTAATTAATTGCTATGAAATCACAGGGAAGAGTACTTTACAGAACCATTTGTTCAACACTAAGTTTAGGGAGATGAATGCAAACAGTGTAAGGTTAGTTTCTGAGCTTTTCAGGTGATCATATACTCAATTTTCTTTTTTTTGTTTTTTTTGTTTTTAGAATAGGGGCTATATATGTGTGTATCTATTTACTTCAGGAGCCAAACTACGAAGGGTATATGGATAGCCAAGTGTGTTGGCATTGAGCCTTGCACGATTGTCATGGACTTGGAGGGTACTGATGGCAGGGAGAGAGGCCAGGTAATCAGCTTTTTGTTAAAACCCCTTTTTTTAAAGTCAGATTAATCGCTGTTCGTGCTTCCTGCAATTATATTCTTTTCCAGGATGATACTGCATTCGAGAAGCAAAGCGCCCTATTTGCCCTGGCAGTTTCAGACATTGTGCTGATAAATATGTAAGGTTATCTTGGAATTACCTGGCTAGTAGCCTACCTTAATTTGCATAGTTTGTTTTAGCAAGACAAAGTTGGTTTGAAATTGGTTTTCAACATCTATAATCCTTGGAAAGAAGCTTTTGATATCATTTCTTTCTTATTGAGTGTGTAATTAGGACTTTGCCTTTCATGAAAACAGCAAAGGCTATTCAAATTATGCACTCATAATTAACGCTCCTCAACCAGAGCTGATGAGGCAGGAAATGTTCAAAAGGTGCGCTTGCTAAAATATACATTAAATCATATATATCAATCATATGCATGCTAGTTCATAGTTCTATTGACTAATTTTCAATAAGCTTTAACATAAAATACATATTAAATGCAATCGAAAAACACATAGTATCCGCATAAGTTGGCCCGGACACCTCATGGTACTTACGAAAAAAAAAAATACACAAAGTATCAAAATGAAAACATACTCATAATTGAAAGTATATCTATTTTGGAGGTATGCTTCAGGCAACTATAACTAGCTCCCTTTGTTGCATGCCACATGGTGATAGAATTTCAAGAACATTTAAAATCAATAAAAATCACTCTTTTCTCGTTTTACCCTCCCACACAATTAATGCATGAATTTTCTCACCTACTTCTGCCCTTTCATTTCTCTACCTGTTTAATACTCATATTATACATGTACGTATATATTTGTTCATAATACTTATGTTTCCCGTACATGTCTTAAAGACTTGGTAAAATATAAGTTTTTTTTAAAAAGCAAATGTATACACATACATATGTATTTTTCACGTTTAATATATGTGTTTTTTTACAAAGTTTTGGATAATACATAAAATGACAGGACCCGTCCCGAATTTCCCAGAACCCGGGGCGAACCCTGCGGAGACCCCGGCATCACCCCCATGCCGGGTTCACTCCTTAAATCTACGTCCTCATTTGCCATAGAGGATTAAGGGCGCGAGACTTTCTGCCGAAATTTCGGCAGAGTCTCCCCTATAAATTGAACATTCCCCAAAATTTCCACCTGCAAGGAACGCATTTTATAACCCAACTGGCAGCATGCACAATATAAGCTCATGCAATTTACATAAATGGCCTCCGGCCTTCAAATGATTCTAGCAAGACTGCCCACAAAGTTCTTAAAATAACTTAATGCATCAAACATGCATATAACAACTTCAAAATCTACTCACGCGCACCTTCACTCACTTAGTCCCCAGGACAAGCCTCAAAATTTATGAAATCCTACCCAACCATCAGCTAGATCATGCAGAAGGGATGAATTTCCATACCTTGGTTGCCAAAAATGGCGGCCGGACGACGGAGAACGAATGGTACGAGCCCCGTGGACTTGGGGGGCCGGACGAGAGCCCGGCCGGCCAAAGCGTGGCCGGCTGTTCCAGCCGTCGCGAAACCGAGGAGAGAGAGAAAGAGACACGCGGGAGAGAGAGAGAGACAGACGGGGGCATTTCCATCTTTTAACCAAAAATCCAATTTCCAAATATTTACGATTATGCCACTGAGCTTCTTCTGACCATATCTCTCTCGTTACAACTCCGATTCGAGCCCACTACGTGTCTACAAACTCATCTCACCGTGCTCTACGCAACGGTACAACCGGAATTCCCAAATTCCTTCCGGGTAAGAAAATGACCAAAATACCCTTATCCCACGGGTAATTTCTCAATTCCACTTAAATTAATTACACATGGGATAAATTTGGGGTCGGGGTGTTACATAAAAAATTCACATATTATACCCGTATTTTTCACATATTGTTGACTGAAAATAATATATATTAAAAGTTTTAAATATATTATATAGTAGCCAAACTTTTCAGTTGTATATTTTGCCAAAATTTTGCCGAATATAAAACAAGTAGTATTTTATTCGTACTTTTTTGGTTATGTATTTTACTGACTAGGTTATCCACCCCAATGAACAAAAATCCAGCATCGATCCCATCTTCTTTCTCAGATTCCATCTTCTAGAAATTGATTCTTTTACTAGGCAAATAATAAAACAGGGAATCCACCCCTTTTGGTAACACTTTTGGCACACGCACTACAAAAAAAAAAGTGGCAATAGTCACTATTATTTGGTGATATTTAGTTACAAAAAAGGCCATTTTCACCAAATGTCACCAAATCATGGTTACTGTTGCCACTTATTTTTTGTAGTGTCGATTTGTTTTTTTTTTTTTTTTTTAAAAGTAGAAAGTTCTATGGTTGTGTTGGAGTTTTTGCCCCCTGGTTCAGAAAAGAAGATCTATGTTTGGTTGAGGCGAAAAATAGTGAAAAACAAATTCTGATTAAGCAAAACCCAGTCTTAATCTTTTCATTTTCCGATTGTTTTTTCCTTAAGCAATTACTAACTTTCATTGTTAAAAAGAACAGAGGCCAAAGAGAAAGAGGGTGGAGATAGAAAAAGGTTTAGGAATTTTATGGGTTCAGAAGGAGAGAGTTGTGCACAATATTTACTTGGGTTGGGTGTTCAACCTGGAGCAATTGGTTCTGGATTTTTGGCTCTTGAAGAAGAGAAAGAAAGAGAAGAGCGTGGAGAGAGAGAAAAGGAGAAAGGAGAAAAGACAAACCTTTACTTGAAACATGACTTTTTATTGGGAAATCATGTTAATACAATTTCACATGTACATGAAATTTGAAATTAATTTAAGATATTGATTCGAGATTGGATTATATATATAGGTCTCTTGACGAGCAAGACAAACCTTTTCTTGAAACATTTTTTCAGGTACTCTAGAAACATGTCTATATCTCTACTGTCTACACTGCATTGAATGTTGGTTATTGAAACTCTGGTTTCGAATGTCTATAGGTCATGATGCGCTTTAGCTTCCCCCGTAAAACGATGTTAATGTTCGTTATACATGATAATTCAAAGGTCTGGGGCATACTTTTTGAGCTTATTAACAGATTAAGTTGTCCTCGTATAATTTTCTTGTTCCATATTAACTTTTCCTTGTTTGTGGGTGTTTGTACTTTAGACCCCGTTTCAACATTGGCACCCTGGTTTGAGGAAATTTATACTGAATGTATTATTCAGTAAAGCGCTAGAGGAAGTAATTTTGTCTTTAGCACTATGTTGTTTTTATAGCTTAGTTGTTTTCTTCGTATCTCTCAGATATTGTAAATTCTGCAGATATGGAATGGAGTCCCGAAGCCCCAAGCCTATAAAAGTACCCGCTTCAGTGATTTCTTTAGTGTGAGATCTCTTATATCCTTCTCTACTCTCTGACAGCTTGTGTTCTTTTTAATGTCTTCATTAGAGCTGATTTTCATTGATAACAACATTCTTGGACGTGAAGGAAGAAGTAGTTGTTATGTCTAGTTATGAAGAGAAGGAGAAGTTTAAGGAGGAGGTAAACTCTCTACTATCAGAAGGATTGTATATGTTTATTACTTCATGCGTGTTGTAGCATCCACTACAGGGTTGTATATATATATATATAATAATAATAATAATATATGAAGAATTTCTTGACGTCCCTAGTATCGAGGGAAACATTTCTTATATTTCCTAAGTAAATTCATTCATTGTAAAAGTTTACTATGATACTTACGGGTTATGGCCTGTATCATGCAGGTTGCTCAACTGAGGCAGCGGTTTTCCCATTCTATTTCTCCAGGAGGGTTTGCTGGTGATAGAAGGGGTGTTGTCCCTGCCTCAGGATTTTCCTTTAGTGCACAACAGATTTGGAAAGTAATCAAAGAGAACAAGGACCTGGATCTTCAAGCTCACAAGGTTTCTTAGTTTCTTTTCTTTCCGTTTAGAAAATAATTTGTGGTCTTCACTTCTCATATGCATAGAACATATACTGTTAATGATTTAATTAGGTTATGGTTGCCACTGTTCGGTGTGAAGAGATTGCCAACCAAAAATTTAATCAATTGATCAATGATGGGGTATGTACTCATTTATCTCCATTTTTGAGATGTTTATAAGTATAATATGATCAAGAAGGTTTTGTTGGTCATTCCTTGGATGAACATGATTTAGGGTTGGTTGGCATTGAAAGAAGCTGTCCAAATTGGTCCTGTACAAGGTTTTGGTAAAAGGCTTAGCTCCATTGTAGGCACCTATCTTTCTGAGTAAGTTCCACTCTGATTTAAATATGTTAGTTTAAAATTCCAAAGGTGAACTATCTGTGTTTGTAATTTTTGTATAATTAAATGATGAAAGGAAAGGGATTTGGTGGAACATCTAAGTAGGATAAGAATCATTATGAACTCATTGTATCGTCCATAATAAGGGAGATGTTGAATTAGTGTATGTCCATTTTATGCTTCTAATATGAATAAGATGATATTAGAGACCATGTATCTACAATTACCAGAGTTATAGTAGTTTTACAGTGTCTGTTGGATTAACCACTTATTCAAATAGGTTTCAATTCACTTTTCACATGCCACGAAGTCTGTCCACTATGTTTTGTCTGACCAGTAAATCTAGCAAGTAGTGTTTCTGTGTTAACAGATTTTGAAACGTGTATGTGTCTACTTATTTGTGTGTGCGCTTTCTATACATTGAAGTTTTTATTATTAGTCTTGTATCGGCTTGTATTGTTTCTAGTTATGACTTATTTGAATGAATTGATCTTGCTTGTGCGTCATAGATATGACACGGAGGCCATCTACTTTGACGAAGGTGCAAGGAACTCAAAACGACAACTGTTGGAGTCAAAAGCGTTGGATGTGTGGCTACTCTCTTTGTCTCTCTAATTTAACAGAGATTTTAGTTAGATTTTCAGTTTCTTAGACAATCCTTGGTAATATGGAGGTCGTGAGTAGTAGTGGTTTTTTAGTTTTAGAAGCCTCCAAATGATTTTCAATACCACATTACTCACTTGGTTCCCGGGGCCCCCATCTCAAAATGAGGGGCATGATAATGAAGTGGATTGACAGCCTAAACTTTCTCCCTCAGGTAGCCCCATCAAAAAGCCTAAAAACATCATTACCGAAGCATGACTCCTTCTAATTAGTTACCAAAAGCTTAGATTGACAAAACTCACTCTGAGACATTGAATGGACAAATGGAGTTTCCTTTTTATGTAATACTCGAAAGTAGCATTGCCTGATGTTTATAGTTCAGATTGTCTTTAAACCTGAACTTATTAAAGGGTGGCTTGGATTAGGTGTGGTGGGTTTTGAGAATTCACAACAGCCACTGATGTCAGTTATCATGCTTATTTTAGTTTAAATCTCCCTTTACTCTTAATTTTCCAGTTTGTTTACCCTGCGTACATGACCATGCTGGGACATCTACATTCTAAAGCGCTTGAAGATTTTAAAGTGAGGTTGGAAGAATCGTTAAACAAAATAGAAGGATTTACTTCATCTGTTCGTACTTGTACTCAGTCTTCCATGCTTGAGTTTGACGAAGGATGTGCAGGTAATTAAAATGTTTGTCCACCAAACAACCTTTGTTATTATATTACTTAACATGTTTCTTTCAGATGCGGCCATACACCAAGCTAATTGGGATTCTTCCAGAGTTCGCAAAAAACTTCAACGTGATATAGATGCATATGTGTCATCCGTTTGTAGTGCAAAGTTGTCAAAATTGAATGGCAACTATGAGGTAATGTTCTGATAATCTATTATAGTCTTGGTTATTATATGTCTTAGAATACTTTTGAAGTTATGTTGATAATCCGTTGTTACTCAAATTTCTTAACGAAAATAACCTTTAATTTTTCAGGAACAACTGTCTGCATCTTTAACGGGACCAGTAGAAGCTCTACTTGAAACTGGTGGCAAAGACACTTGGGCTTCAATAAGAAAACTTCTTAATCTTGAAACTGAATTTACAATATCAAAGTTTTCAGCTGCAGTTGCCGATTTTGAGTTGGACAAAGAAACAATTGCCAAACTGTTACAACATTTAAGGGATTACTCAAGGAATGTGGTGGAAAAAATTGCAAGAGAAGAGGCTACAAAAATTATGATCCACATGAAGGATCGGTAGAGGACTTATTGTCAATTTATTTTCTCTTTTTTTTTTATTATCATTTTGGTTGCTTATCATTTATGTTAACATTTCTCAGGTTTTTCACAGTCTTCAATTATGATTGTGATTCAATGCCTCGGGTTTGGACAGAGAAAGTAGACATTAGAAGTATTACGAAGGATGCTCGCTCTGCGGTAATCATTGGGAACTTTTATGGAAGAATATTATCTGTCTCTTTGTGTTAAAGTGAAATTTCAGTGTCTTTTATTATATATTTCTTGCAGTCTATGAAGCTTTTGGCCGTCATGGCTGCTATCCGCTTGGATGAGAAGCCAGATAATATTGAAAAAGTTTTATTTTCTACTCTGATGGATGGAATTGTTAATGTTTCATCTTCACAAGATAGGAGAATAGGAGCTTCTGCAGACCCTCTTGCCTCAAGCACTTGGGAAGAGGTACCATTTAATGGGTTTTGGTTCATCTGTATACGTTTTCTATCATCAAACTGGTTTCTTATTAAAGGTACTCTGAACTAGGTTTCTTTAGAGAATACCTTAATTACTCCAGTGCAGTGCAAGTCCTTGTGGGTAGAGTTCAAAACAGAGACCGAGTATAGTGTCATTGAAGCTATTTCAGTGCAGGTATAGTTTATAACTTCTCTTACCTTACGCTTAACTTCAGTAGTTTAATAGTTTCATAAATGGATTTTATGTTCCCTAAAACTTTTGTATGGATTTGAATTAGGGAGATTTAACTAGTGATGTATGTACTTGCAAACGTAATGGGCAAGTAGTAGTAGAAACTTTGAAATATGATGTGTGCATTGTGTATGACATTTGGGATGGAGTTCTTATCCATGTGGATTGGATTTGGTTTAGTAGTGAAAAGAGAAACATCGTATATATGAAGTTCCGGAAATTATTGAAAAACTTAATATTGAAAAATTAGCTAACTCTTGATTTGGTAACGGCAAGTTTAAGTATTCTAGTTTGTCTACAAAGAAAACCCGGCATCCTAATATTTTCAACCTATATATCTTTATGTTTAGAAGCTCAATCCAATCCTACAAACGTAATGTATATAATGCTGTTTGCTTTTGTATTCTTAGGAGGCTTACAAGCGAAGTAACAACTGGTTGCCTCCTCCGTGGGCTATTATGGTGATGGTCGTTCATGGTTTCAACCAATTTATGCTCCTCTTAAAGTAATTATGGCCGTTCAGAGTACTAAGTTTGTGCACATTGTTAATTATTTGGAATTCCCAACTTGCTTGTCCATACTGTTCCTTTTCTCTTCAAATGAAACAGTGGTCATATTTGTTGAATCTTTTTTTAGAATAAACAAAAGTTTTTTTTAATGATAAACAAGTATAAAGTAAACATTGTGTCTAATATGGGTAAATCTTGTGGAGTCACCAAAACACATCAACATGTTTAATTGATCTAGAGAGAATCAGGGACAACACAAAGATGACTAAAATCCCCGATTTAGCAACTAGAAGCACATGTACTCAAACCTGCAATACAGATGAGCTGTGCAACCACATCAACAACATCGAAAGCCAAAGCTAAATAGAAATAAAACAAACTAAAGATAAGACAAACCACAATTTTTTTTTAAAGAGTTCATGAGAATTATTAGACTTGAACAGACGAAAGAGTAGCCTTCACATCCTCCAGAGCAGCCCAAAGAGAGACATAGGGCCATAACGGCTATCGCAAACTTGACACAACCTGACATCTTCCTTATATGTGTGGGTCAAAAGATGATGACTATTAAGGCGACTGCTTCCGCATCACAAAACAAAAGAACAAAGAAGGTGGGGAATGGAGGGAAGGAGAAGAAAGGGGATGAGGAGATAAAACATGCACCTAGATGTACATACATGGTACATTAAGGCATAGCTTGCACAACATAATGGTCACTCTCTCGTTTTCTTGCGAGAGCAAATAGGTGGTTAGGATTACTTGGGTCTGCAGCTGCAAGATTGTATTCGCACAGCAAACAATCATACTCATCAAAAGAACAGATTATCAATTTTTTTATTTACTCTGTTTGCTCTTCAAGCAAGAAGATTTACTTACTCAGAAGAATAAGAAGGCTTGAGTTCAAAGGAAGCATAGAATATGGGTCGTCCGGCTACCAACAAGACTTCATGTGGCTGTAAACAAATAAACCAAGAATAAAATTTGAAAAAGCTTTTTTTTCGAAGCATTAAAAAGTAAAATGTACACTTCCCTCCCGTTCATTTACTCTGTTTATTTGCTCTTCAAGCAAGAAGCTTCACTTCTCTTTTTTTTTCTTCTTTCTTTTTTGTCAAAAAGCGAGAAGCTTTACTTACTCAGAAGAATAATGCTTGAGTTTCAAAGGAAGCATAGAATCTGGGTCGTCCTGCTCTTCAAGTTTGTATAAATCGGTGCTTGAAAGTTGGAGGCTTGAAGGCTGCCATACTTGGGCTCTCAGAGTTGGAGATTTTGAGAGAGTATTGTATTGATGGAGGAAGATTGCTGCGCCACGCAACTCATCTATAGAGCTGGTAAGTTTAATGCTGTTGGGCTCGACAGGTTCGTCAAGGAAGTGAAGCTTGCTGAGTGTGGAGTCTCCTATGGTGTTGTAGCCATCGTGGGTCCTCAGAGCAGCGGTAAATAAAATGAAGCTTTTTTACTTTAATCAATTTAATTGATTGAGCTTGAGCAATATGGCGCAATTAATTGCCTATGAAATCACAGGGAAGAGCGCTTTACAGAACCATCTGTTCACTACTCAATTTGCAAACAGTAGAAGGTTAGTTTCTGAGCTTTACAGTTGATCATATACTCAATTTTCTTTTTTTGTTTTTAGAATAGGTGCTATATATGTGTGTATCTATTTACTTCAGGAGCCAAACTACGAAGGGTATATGGATAGCCAAGTGTGTTGGCATTGAGCCTTGCACGATTGCCATGGATTTGGAGGGTACTGATGGCAGGGAGAGAGGCCAGGTAATCAGCTTTTCGCTAAAACCCCGTTTTTTAAAAATCAGATTTAATCGCTCTTTGTGCTTCCTGCAATTATGTTATCTTCCAGGATGATACATTCAAGAAGCAAAGCACCCTATTTGCTCTGGCAGTTTCAGACATTGTGCTGATAAATATGTAAGCTTACTTTGCGTAGTTTGTTTTAGCAATACAAAGTTGGTTTGAAATTGGTTTTCAACATCTATAATCCTTGGAAAGAAGCTTTTGATATCATTATTGCTTATTGAGTGTTTAATTAAGACTTTGCCTTTCATGAATACAGCAAAGGCTATTCAACATATGCATCCATAATTAACGGTGGTCTATCACAGCTGAGGAGGCAGGAAATGTTCAAATGGTGGGCTAGCTAAAATATACATTAAATCATATCAATCATATCATATGCATGCTTGTTCATAGCTCTACTAACTAATTTTCAATAAGCTTTAACATAAAATACATATTAAATGCAATCGAAAAACACATACTATCAAAATGAAAATATACTCATAATTGAAAGTGTAACTATGTTAGTGGTGTGCTTCATGAGACTATAACTAGCTCCTTTTGTTGCATGCCACGTGGGGATAGAATTTCAAGAACATATAAAATCAACCAAAAAAAATTATTTTCCCGTTTTACCCTCTCACACAATTAATGCATGAATTTTCTCACCTACTTTTGCACTTTCATTTCTCTTCTCTTTTAATACTCGTATCACTTCCATATGTATATTTTCATGATACTTCCGTTTTCCGTACATGTCTTAATGACTCGGTAAAATACACGTTTATTTTAACAGAAAATGTACAATACACGTATATATATTTTTCACTTTAATATACTTGTTTTTACAAAATTTTGAATAATACAGACAAAAATCATGTATTATACCCATATTTTTCACATATTATTGAATAAAAATAATATATATTAAAAGCTTTAAATAAATTATATTAAAATATTATATAGTGGATGAACTTTACAGTTGTATCTTGCGAAAGTTTTACCGAACAAAACACGTGTATATGTTATTCTTACTTTTCTCGTTTCGTATTTTACTAACTAGGCTATCCACCACAAAAACAAAAATCCAGCATCGATCCCATCTTCTTTCTCAGATTCCATCTTCTAGAAATTGATTCTTCTACCAACAAATAATAAAACAGGGAGTCCACTCCTTTTGGAAACTGTTGGCGCTCGATTTGTTTTTTCATAAATAATAAATTATACTGTCGTGTTGGAGTTTTTGCCCCTGGTTCAGAAAAAAACCGAATAAAAAAAGATCTATGTTTGGTTGAGGCGAAAAATAATGAAAAAAAAAAAAAAAATCTGAATAAGCAAAACCCAGTTTTAATCTTTTCATTTTCCGATTGTTTTTTACTTGAGCAATTACCAACTTTCACTGTTAAAAAAAACAGAGGCTAAAGAGAAAGAGGGTGGAGATAGAAAAAGGTTTAGGAATTTTATGGGTTTAGAAAGAGAGAGTTGTCCTCAATATTTTCTTGGATTGGGCGTTCGATCTGGAGCAACTGGTTCTGGATTTTTGGCCCTCGAAGAAGAGAAAGAAAGAGAACAGCGTGGTGAGAGAGAAAAGGAGAAAGGAAAAAGACAAGCCTTTACTTGCAAACATGACTTTTTATCAGGAAATCAAGTCAATATGATATTACACGTATACTTGTATTTTGAAATTAATTTAAGATATTAATTGGAGATGTTGGATTATATATATAGGTCTCTTGACAGGCAAGAAAAACCTTTTCTTGAAACATTTTTTCAGGTACTCTAGAACCATGTCTATATCTCTACTGTCTATCCAGCATTGAATGTCGGTTATTGAAATTCTGGTTTCGAATGTATCTGGCTGATTCGTCCAGTTCTGGCTGAGTATTCAGTTCTGCCTGAAGTGTTCAGTTCTGCCTGATTTGTTAAAGCAGAAGTAATTTTCTATTTTTTGTTCTGTCTATTTTAAATGATGTAATGAGAACCATTAGATCATAGTCTAGGTGGATTCTCTAGCTTAGATTTGGTATAACACGTGTAAGCATCTAATAGGGTGACAGTTGTAATTCTGTTAGAAGAGAATCACATTTCTCTCTACGTCAGTCACACTATGTAAGCTGCAGTTTTGGAAGAATTCAATAGAACAGTGCCTTCCTCATTTTCTCTTCATTCTCTCTAGCTGAAATCTCCAGAAAATACATCTCTTCCTAAATCGGAAGATACATATACAAACTAAGAACTCTAACATGGTATCGAGAGCCTGGTTCGATTGCTTGAGCTGGGCGTGAATCTGTGATTGAATCGGAGAAATTGGTTTTTGTTTGAGCTAGAACTTGAGCTCATCTGAAGATCGCGATTTCTCAAATCCAATGTCTAATATGGCAGGATCGAGTACCTCTGAGCTGCGAACTCCAATTTTCAATGGAGAAAATTATGAGTTCTGGAGTATCAGAATGAAAACTATTCTGAAATCTCATGGTTTATGGGATCTGGTTGAGAATGGGTTAAGTGACCTAGATCTGAAGAAGGAGAAAGAGGAGGCTGTAGACACTGAGAAGTCTATGATGGT